TAAAAAAAGTTCCTGATGTCTATTCCAACTACCAGGTAATGGAGATGCTGGGTAACAGCAATGGTGAATGGAAAGAGTCCAAAAGGTTTCCTCGCATCACTCTTTGTGACTTCAAGATCCGTCAGATGCAGAACATCCAGAACTGGACAGTCCAGTGTGTGCTGCCCATCAATCTGTTCAATGAGAAAATCTTCATCGTCATTTGGTTCTGGCTAGTCTTTGTGGCCACTTTGTCTTGTATCAACCTAGTCAGGTGAGATGATTTAATTGACACTATGGACTTCACTACTTTTTTGTTTTGTCAAATCACAATTTTTGAACAGGGAGGGGCATAAAGTCTCCCACATTTTGAATGAATCAACCAAAGGAACCTAACTATCTAGCCAAAAAAAAAAGTGCATATATTTCTGAAAGTGCATAAAAGACAGTTTAGTTTTGATGGGTTTTAAAAAAAAAAATTTCCGGTCTGATATAGATGCCTTTTGACTGAGCTCTAAGTGTCACTATTTCAGATAGCTTGTTCTCATTACATGCTTCAACAAAGTCATGATGTTCTCCTGTCCAAGTCATAATGGGTTGGGAAAAAGAAAAATTGTTATCATAATTGAAATTGGTAGAGCCTAGCCTACCAAATGAAACCTGTCCCACCTCTCTACTGCCACTGCAGCCCATATGGTGCCTCCTCTAAACATAGGAGATCTTTATGTCCCACCCTGTACAATTAAAGAGAACAAAAAAAGGCGTCTACAAACCATTTTTTTTTTTACTCTAGTATTCAAGGTCATGAATACTCTAAATTGTTTCCTGTCTTGCTTTTCCTAACCAGATTACACTATGTTTAGTGCCAGAGCAAACAAAAATTTAAAGATTTAAAGTAGTCATTTATTGATTTTAATTTTTTTCCGTACTTTGTACATGTTTTCTAAAGTTAACATTTCTAGAATTCTATTTTAAACACAAAAAAAATCTCTCTTTCACTATGAGTCTTAACTTGAAGATTATTTCATTGAATCCATGTTATTTTAGAGAAATTAAAGATTTGGTCTCATCTTAAATGCTTCTATTTCTGTTGTAAATGGGCTGATTATAACATTTCAGTATTTTAGAAGAAAATTAAATGTCTTAATGTAGAGATTCCTATTAAATAACTCAATAGAAGCTTTAAATATTGAAGATTTTTTTTAAAGGCTGACAGGCTTAACACATTTCATTTATTCCTCAGCTGGCTTTACCGTGTTTTGTTTAAGAGAAACCGTGCAGGTTACATTAAGAAGTACTTAAAAATCAACAACGAGCTTCAGACTGGTTTTGACAAGAAGCTGTGTCAGAAGTTTGCTGATGAATATTTACGTGATGATGGTGTCTTTGTCATACGTGTCATTGCTAAGAACTCGACTGATCTCGTTGCCACTGACCTCGTAGACAAACTTTGGAAACTCTACAAAGGCAAGAGAATGAAGAAGAACGATGAAGAGCCTCCAGCTTTTGACCCATCTACTTTGCCTGTTAACGAGAAGGAGAAAGAGGCTCTCTATCCAAAATAAACATTTTGTATGCAGGAAACTGTTCATGAAAAGTCTGCTTTTGGTGTGACTCTATGAGTACCATCACTAACATCGAGGACTAAAAAGTAAGTTGGTCTTGTCTTGCCTCTAAGATCATTTTGTATATTTTAGGATGTTGTATGATAAGCTGATATGATTTCGACTTTCCCAAAAATCTGCACAATGTAAACATATTTTTTTTAGTTAATATAAAGTTTTAACATATTGCCACATTGTATTTCTTCCATGTTTTCTATCTTTCAAACTTTTGTTAAATGGTACCATTCCACAATCAAACATGTTAAAGTGCCTCTCTGATTCCAATGTTGTCAGTAGTTTCTACTTTAGTGTACTAGTGAACTGTTGGATTAAACTATTCATATATTGCTTCCTTATTGTCATGCATATTTTAAACTTTATATAAATTCTTTAATTACTGGAATAATGTTAATAGACGTATTTATATTTTATTAAGTTTGAACTTTACGAATGACCAAGCCACACTTTTCTATATAGTTTTTTTTTATAAACAAATCTTAAGGACAATGGAGATATAGACTTCTTGAATCCATTTTATAAAATGATATTATTATTTAGTTATTTATTAGAGTGACTACTTTCATTTGATGTGGTTACACATGAAACAGTCTGTATTGTCCACCAGATAACTTCAGTTCTTAGTTTATCTGAGATGTCACATATGTGAATATGTTGTTCTTTTTTTTTTATAGATTTTCTTTTAGATATGTAAATATTGTAAACTTTTTGGTAATAATTTATCAACATAAATAGATTACAAGGTTTGTATAAATATTAGAAGGCCCAGTCCATATTAAACAAGCACACTAACATGGCATGCCATAAATATAATAGAGAAGGCAATACGCTGAGGAAAAAATGTGGATTAGGGTACATATTCTTTTATTTTTTCCCAGCATGCTTTTGTGAACATAAGTCCACTTTTGATTTGCTTGGCAATTAGATAAAAGTTTTAGTTTTCCAAATGTATAGGTGTTGCGAGGGACCTCATCCTGTTAGTTGCTGTTTGGCTTTTTATTTATTTGTTAATAATGTGTCCTTGATGCTTAGGTTTTTAAAATACAAATTTTGTTGGTGTTTAGGTGGTTCTGCTTATTGTAAATCTTGATCAGTTTGGGGCTTACAATCTCTGATGTAAACTTTATCTGAGGATCAATATTATTAAAAGGGCGCATTAATAATAAAATTTTAAAAAGTCAAGGAATAATTGGGTTCAAATTTCTTTCTTTCATTTAGTTTTACAAACTTCTGGCGAAATTTACCATACTTACAGGAATGAGAACAACTTTGGTAAATCTTCTTTTAAACATGTATTTTTAATGAACTAAACACAAATTCTGTCTACTTGGGGGTTGTTAAACACACCATCTTTATTAGACTCAGGGAAAAAACTGATGAATTTCTACGCTGCAGCCTGAAAGGCCAAGATTAGTCTGAAGTTTCCAGGGTTACAAAGTTATTGCAAAGCTTAGTCTAATAGTCTGTACCCAGACGTCTGGATTAGTAATTAGCATCTTAATTTCTTGAGTCTGAATATTGCACCAGACAAGTTTCAGAAACTTTGGCCTTAAAGCCCAGTCTGAAATAACAGAATATTTTTTTTAAAGATTCATGCTGCATCTATTTTAAAAATGATAATAGTTATGTTGTTCATCAGTGTCAGCACAATCCCCCAAGGTTGTGACAGCCTTGTATATGTCAATCATTTTTTTATTATCATAGACTTTGTTGTTCTCAGTCTTCCAGAAATGTGCACATGATTGCTGCATCACTCTATGCAAGCTTACATTGATTATTTCCTTTTGGCAGCCTTGTATAGCGTTTTGTCTTGTTAATAAGTCGCTAGTTGTCTTGCTAAGAAGTTACTAGCTGTCTTCCTAAGAGGCCACTAGTTGCCTTGCTAAGATGTCACTAGTTTTCTATTTCTAGAACTAGTAAGAATAGAGGTATGGAGAATTTACATTTTTTGTTTTGTTTTGACTGGACCAATATAAAAAGTAATTCCTCACTTTCATTCCAATAGTTTTCTTACGCATCAAAATCAAATGTACTTTGCCTGGCAAACATGATTTCAGAAATGTTGATTTATTGCAGGAGATAATGGCATTAGAAGGTTGGGCATTATGCTCAACTAGAGAAATAAAAGCTGTATTTTGTATTATTTTCATTATAATTTTTTTTTTTTGTGAATTTTGAATTCTTGTAAACAGATGTTGCAAACAGATGTCTTTTTTTTTTTTTTATCTAATCAAATTAAGTTTATTCTTTTTTTTTAAGCTTCATAAATTATTTTTTTTTAGATATATTTATAGCTCAAATTTAAAATGCATGTAAACAACGAAAAACAGCAAAATCGATTTACGATTATATCAAAATGCATTTTTTGGGTGTTTTATCAAAAACTAGTTACTATTGAAAAAATCAAAACAAACTAGTACTTACAAACTGTTGATATTTGAATACTTTAAATATTTTTTTTAGGTCAGTGTGGCACATTGTACTTTGAGATTTGTTTTCAGACTTTTCTTTATATTCTGGCATTTTGTTGTTTTTTTTCCTTGTAAAAACTATTCCGGCATTGAGTTTTATATGAATCTTTAAAAATTATATATTAGTTTAATTAATTACCATGAAGCTTTCAACTGAAGAGTCTATTTGTTGTTTTTCCCCTCAACACTGTATTAGTTATTCAAAAGAAATCTATCAAATCTGCTGTTCTAAACTTATTTAAAGTTGTATGTAAGAGTAACAAAGTTGACAGTATATTTGTAGCGGACTAATTTCTATGTCTGTACAAAAAGAATTAATCAAAAACCTGCCACCAGAAATCTAATTGATCGTTAAAACTTTATTTGACTGACTTTATTATCAATGCATTTTTGTGTGTGTACAATTTGTATTTGCTGTTGTGCTTTTTTTTAAATGTACTTTCTATAACTTTTAAAAGTCATTGCATGTGAAAGGAGATATTTGAGGACAAAACTAAATGTTTTTGAAACGGATTGAAGAAAGAAAAATTATCTTCCGAAGAAAATATTTGTTTGAAGATCAAATGATTGAAGGGAATTGTTTGACTTTATTCAGGCTATTGTTTGACTTTATGCAGGCAATTGTTTGACTTTATTCATGTTCTGAGTATTGGTTGTAGCATAAGGCTGTACTGCATTTATTGTGAGTTTGATTGCTTATGAAGTAAAAAGATCATAGGAAGATTTTTTTTTTTTTTTTAAATCTGATTCCAGGTATTTTCAGTAGTTGTATATATAGACTCAGATCAGAAATGGATTTATTCAGATGTTAGGTAATGCAATGTAGCACATCAAAATCAGCTCCTCCTTTCATCGTCATCCTTTTATTCTCAACGTTAGTGTTGGAATCAATGTCTCAGACAGTCACTTCATTTTTACGCCTTTTGTATTTCACCTTTTTTTTTTTTTTTTGTTAACCATTTATGTTTAAAATCATTTGTCATACCAAGTTTAACTTTCTTTGTCAACTTCATATAGGTAAGTGTTTAAATTTCATCATGTTTTTGCTTTTGTTTATTGTACAAGAATAGACTTTTATACTCCTATACAATACTTTGTTAATAACATCAGAAATTTCCAATCATTTTTCTTCTGCATTCCAAAAGAATCCAAAACATTTTGACCAAACCTTTTTTTTTAGCTTAATTATTTTTTTCACAAAGCTTCTTTTTCAACCTTTGTTATTAAAGTGAGTTACAAGGTATATAAAAAAAAAAAAATTTCCTCTTAACTTTTGAAACATTACAAAGCTCAACTTGTTTCCACCATTCCATTGTTAAATTAACACTGTCATAGTTCTGGATTTGATTATTAAATTGCGACCAGGCATTATATATATGAGGCATGCCAAATTTAAATTCTATCTATTTATGGTGCATTCAGTTATACAGGTTTAATATTTCCCAACTTTTCTTGGGTTAGGACCCCTTTCAAAAATGTATGTTACTCACACTTCCAGATATTGTTATTGCTTTGCTGGTTCAAGATGGATTCCAAAGTTTTATTCATTTTAAAATTATTTTTTAATGGGCATTGTCATGGACATTTCTTTCAAAGTAACCAACAATAGCATTAATAGCTTAGTACTTCCTCCCAAAGCAATGCCATTCTAACAGGTATTTTAATATACAATTTGGTTGTTATAGGATTCTGAAATAGTGTGTAAGCTCCATTGTGTCACTGACATATGTATACCGTCTGTGAAATCTAATGCATTTATTATCTGTTAGTCCTAATTTATTAGTGATGTACCTCTTATGCCAGTTTGTAAACATATATTTTGAAAAATATGGGAATGCAAGTTAATCATGTTTGTAAAATGAATCACTTGGTGAGACTGGTGTATGCTGCAAATCAGTAGCCAGGGGTTCTTAACATTTTATCTATCACCACATCACATCTCGTCTTATTTTTCAATTTATAAATTCTGCATGTCATAGCTAATAAAAAAGATGTATTCAAAGAATGAAAAAAAATAATTAAAATAATTACTATTAATTAATTAAGAACCCTTGTCATGAGCTGCTTTTTGGTGGCTATGTCTTCTTTTTTATCACAAACTTTATTGAATGATAACATTTTCCATTGTTTTATTTGTATTTGTTTATATGTTTGGGTCCAATTCCATTCTTTCTATTTTGATGTACAATAAAGTTTGTCACAGTGAATTGGTGTATCTGGCATTCAATTAAGTGCCTAAAACATTTTTTGTTTCTTTTCTTTTTGTTTGTTTGTTTAAGTTTTCACAATTTAAAAAAAAATAAATTATATTCCTTTTTTGTATGAATTCATTATTGCATGATTAAATGTGTGGTTTCAAATGTATTGTCAATGAGATCATTCTTAAAGTTTTGATTGGGTAAAGGCTAGATTTAAGTAACTAAAAAAAAATGTGTATATTTTGTTACATCAGGGTCAAGGACATGCAACCATCTATGTAGGCTTCTAGCTATGCTATGTTTCTATTTTTGACATTTTTATTGTTTAAAACGAAATATTGTCAGAATATTTTAAATCAAAACCTGATTTCAATAAACATATTTCTTATAAAAGTTTTTACAGTCCTAAGATTTGTCAGAGTCGTTTATTTCAGTTTTGTTGTTCAATTTAAAAAACGGCTAGATCTAGACCTGTTAGAAGTCTGCTTCTAGCTGTTTGCTGCTGAGACTTCCGGTTCTTGATTCGTGTAGTCTGCTGTGTGTGACAAAAGGTCTTCTCCCTGCCACCCACAATTTCCGGTCACAGTAAACAAGCATCAGTGACCTTGATCCCATTCCAACTTCCTTGCTCCGTGAATGTTTAGATGAGCTTGTACCTACAATTACTAACATTGTGAACTCTTCACTGACTTCAGGCATTGTACCAAAGCAATTTAAGCATGCACTTGTCAGGCCCTTATTAAAGAAATCCAGTCTTGACCCGGAATGTCAAAAAAAACTATCGCCCGGTATCAAATCTTCCCTTCCTGTCAAAGCTTCTGGAGCGCATCGTGTTAGCGCAAATTCTTTCTCATCTTGAACAGTACTGTCTCTTGGAAGAATTTCAATCTGCATATAGGAAGTGCCGTAGCACAGTGACAGCAGTGGTCAGGGTACTAAACGACTTACATCACAATTCCGACAAAGGCAACATATCAATTCTTTCCATGCTGGACTTGTCCGCAGCCTTTGATACGCTAGACCATGAAATTATGATGGCCAGATTCTCTGCCACTTTTGGTTTAGCAGGAGTCGTCCTAAAGTGGCTTGTATCCTACCTGACGGAACGCACCCAAAGTGTCATGGTTAGCGGAACGGAATCAACAAGCTTACTTTTGGAGTACCCCAAGGATCAGTTCTAGGCCCAGTACTGTTCACTATGTACACATATCCACTCAGCGGTGTCATACGGCCAACCGGTATCTTATACCATTTCTTTGCCGATGACTCACAGTTATACGATTCATCAGTACCCTCAGAGGTGTCGCATCTGACAGAGAAAATCAGTAGTACCGTTGCAAGGGTGAGCGATTGGATGGTTGAAAATAAACTCAAGATGAACGAAGACAAGACAGAAATAATTAAGATTGGCACTAGGAACAATGTCTCAAAAGTTGAAAGCACAGATTCTCTCTTTATCACGAACTGCCATGTTCCTTTTGTCCATGTAGTGCGGAATCTTGGAGTTTTCTTCGACTCAACACTATCTTTCGACCCTCACATAAGTCAGCTCTGCAGCTGCGCGGATTAGGCCAGATCCGACCATATTTAACATCGGAGTCAACAAAAACGCTAGCTGTGGCATTCATACTCTCACGCCTTGACTACTGCAACGCCGTGCTAGCAGGTATACCTGATGACAAAATAGCCAAGCTGCAACGTATACAGAACAACGCCGCTCGAATAGTCCTTAAAAAAAATAGACAACATTCTGCTACTACGCTCTTGCGCACGCTCCGTTGGCTTCCCGTGAAAGCGAGAATCGATTACAAGGTCGCCACACTTTGTCATGAGTGTATATATAACAACGAGATGCCCTTGTACCTTAGAGAACTGATTACTCCATATGTCCTCCAGAGAGCCTGCGCTCAATGGACTCAACGCTTTTAGTAGTGCCACGTTTTTCCCTCAAAAGCTACGGTCTGCGGGCTTTTTCAGTTCACGGACCAAAGGTTTGGAACTCACTCCCCATTGATCTCAGACTGACAACATGCTACACCACTTTTAAGAAGAACATTAAGACCTATCTGTTTAAAACTTTTTTAGATTAGTTTGTCATGTTAGCTCTTGTGTTTGTGTTTGTAATGTTGTTACAGCGCCTTGAGCCTACATTTTGTTTGTTAACAGCGCTTTATAAATAAAATTATTATTATTATTATTATCAGTATGAGAAGTGGCCCACGATAAATGCTTGTATAGGGTGGCGATAAGATACCTGCCAGAAACATAAATTGGATTCTGTGCAAATATGAACTTCATTAGCTGATGGGGTCTATGAGTATATATAAAACTAGCATTACCCACCAGCTACACCCGTTCACTTGTTCACAGGTTACATATGGTTTATTTTACAATAATAATAATATAAAAGTCCGGATCTATCCATAGGAAAAAAAAAGGTTTAGCTTGGGCCCCCCACCAAAAAAAAAATAATTCAGCACTAACATATAATATCTGGGCTTAGGATGGCCCGAGATCTAGATCTATAAAAGGGCTTAAGTCCTTTTCAAGTCTGAATCTTATTAGGCCTACTCAGTTTCATAATTGAACATTAAGAGTTTTTTTTTTATTAAAAGTCTCCTTGTAAATGTGTACAAAAGAATGTACCTCTCGGTAAACGCATAATTTTGCCGCTGTAAAGAAAAAAAGACATTTCCTTCAACCTCCCATGATGCATTCTCGGCAAGCAATGTCGTGGTGACATGCACCAGCGACGCGAGGTAACATCTCACAAGGGTAACATGACTTCTTGGTGTCAGAGGGGAAAGTCATTGTTGACTTGAAATATTAGTTCCGGTGTCATGGCGGCACTTTCTGCTTTTGCGCATCCCAATATCCTTTTCAACCATCTAAGATTTACTTATCATCAAGTACTAAATGAAAATCTAACGACATTGAAATAATTGACCCCCCCCCCCTCCTTTTTTTTTTTTTAAATCTTAAAGAAATAGCAGTTTTTATGTCCGTTTAAACATGCACATTGCTCCGTGAGAGAGAGAGAGAGAGAGAGAGTGTGTGTGTACCGGCACGTCTTCATTATTGTATCTACGCTACAGGCCTACATGTCCACTATCAACCAATCCTTAGACCCTAGACCTAGATGTTTATAGATATAAATATATATCATTCAGCGGAATAGGATGGAGATATAAAGGGCAATAACTAAGGCGGAGTTTAAACGTTGTGAAATTAATCTTTGCCTAGAGTCTGTGTCTGGCCTTTGGGGGGGGTAGAAAGAGGCTTACTTCTGTCCCATAAAACACTTAGTAATATATAGTTGTTTATTTGTATGCGGCTGAATGAGTTTATTTTTTAAAGGAAATTATTATTAAACTTAGGACTAAATTTACGATTTTTTTCTTATTAAGTGGGAAAAGTGTTGTGTGGTATGTCTGTCCGCCGGTCACTCTTTGGTAGTGATGGGCAAAAGTTAACTAAAAAGTTGCTAACTTTTAGTTTATTTAAAAAAAAATTAGTTAAGGCCAAAGTTTAATTTTTAAAAAAGTTTTGTTAAAATCCTAGTTTAATTATTTTTTTTAGTTACAAACTAAAAAGTTTAATTACAAATTTTACAAACTTTTTTAACATACATACCAATAAATATTTAGATCTATGTAATTTAGAGAATATATATGATGTAAGGTAGCGAGGAGAATAAACTAGAGGGTGCACAGGTCACTAGAAAGCCTTTTGACCTTAACTTAAAATGGTCGCTATTCCCGCCAATTCAAGGTATTTGAAAGGCGAGAAAAATAAACGTGTTTATTATATTTCTAGCAAGTTTCGCTGCTTGATAAATCCTGATTATTCCTTGCTTCTATAGATCTACATTTTGCTGCTTTTTATTAAACACCAGTGTGTTCTTGTATAGCTGCAGGCAAAGAATTTTGCTTTACTATAGATCTAAAAGAAATGTCGACTCTTTTTATTTTAAAACTTTTACTAGATTATAGATAGATCTAGACTCTAGACTCAAGCTACTGAAGCTAGAGTTAGAGTCTAGTGACGTCTAGTCTATTAGTATTAGTCTATTACTACTATTAGATCTATAGTCATAATAGTCTATATTTAATTATTTTAGTCTTAAGTAGAGTCTAACTCGTAGTAGTCTTAGTCTTAGATCTAGATGTAAATTTTAAATTATAAGTCAATAATATAGATCTATTAATTGAAATCTATATTACTTTACTTTATTACACTAGATCTATTAGTTAAAAGAGATTCTACTATTCTAAAATTAGAGTCTAGATCTATAATGACTGTAATACTAATAATAGTCGTCACTATACTAGATCTAATACTAAATTAACTAAATCTAGACTATATCTACATCTACTTCTATTATAATTATACTTATATAATCTACTATCTATCTAGATTCTAGATCTATTAGATCTAGTATTATCTAAATACTCATATCTAGCACTTCCTCATTGGTTATCTTATCTTGCCACCTTATTTTAAAGATCCGCCTTAGGCATCGGAGGTGGAAAACATTCAGCTTTTTTTCCTGCCATGAGTAGGTTGACCATGTTTCACTTCGGTACATTAAGGTGCTCAACACACAGGTCCGGTAGACTAGGGCTTTAGTACTGTTAGTCAGCAATATGTTGTCCCAGACTCTTTTCTGCAATGAGGAAGTCTTACAAAGAGCAGGGTGCCAGGACATTCGCTCTGTTATCAGCAGCAGACGCCTTGGCTGGCTTGGCCACGTTCGTAGAATGCCGGCAGGTCGACTTCCACAGGACATCCTGTATGGCGAGCTAATAGAAGGCAGGAGAGCCGCTGGTCGCCCACTTTTACGTTATACGGATGTATGCAAACGCGACATGAAGCTCTTCGAAATCGACACTGGCAACTGGGAAGAGGTGGCACTTCACAGATCCTCATGGAGAGAGAGCATACAGCAAGGGTCAAAGATTGCAGATGTTACACACAACAGAAGCAGAAAGAAGGGTGAAAATGCAACGGCGCCTGGTGATTACATATGCCCAACCTGCAATCGCAGCTGTGTATCAAGGATTGGCCTCTTTAGTCACACAAGAAGTTGCAAAGGGAAAAGATCGTCTCTCGAGACGTAAAATGCCACAGAGAGAGAGAGACCCATATCTAGTTATAATCATAATTATAATAATCTAAAATCTCTAGATCTAGAGTTACTAAGATATCTACTAGACTCTAGATTTTAGATCTAGTAGTAGTAGTAGTAATTAGTATTTCTTAGATTATTTTTAGATTAAAATATTAATGATTTGATCTAGGTCTAGTAGCTAGATCTTATTCTAAATCCTGATTATATTTCTGATCATTTCGTTTGTAGAAGATATTAGATCCAGAATATTCTAGAATCTAGAGTTAGTTAGAGAG